CGTGTTCACCAAAACCGGTGAGTTCTCTTGTCTATTCCGATTACAAGCTATAAAAGAACAGAGGAAACTTCTTCTAATAATACCGAGTAAAGAGAAAACCCTAACGTATTATATATATCTTTGTTCTCTCTTGAAGGGCCATATATATTCAGCTTATTGTGCTTGGGRTTTAGCCATACGTGAGCCCATCTTCTCTCTTCCTCTCATTTGTAATCTCTTTTGTTAGGCCCAATTGTTTGGTCCACCAATATCTGAGTCAACCTTTCAATTCTCCACCTTTGACCAGATATCACTTTGTTTTCATCGACAGAGACCATCTCTCTCACCGCCTCTCGATCTCGACCTTTCTTCTCRGATTTCTAGAGAGCTTCTCCGACGTCTCAGCCACCSCGTGGTGCTTCCCCAACGTCATCATCTCCGGCGTCTTGCGACTCCGATCTCGAGCTCAGGTAAGCCCCTAAACTCTAGCCATTTTCTTCTTCCTCTTCGAAATCTCATTTCTTCTGAAATCCGAAACATTGACCTTGTTTCCGGATCATTTCAGCTTCATAAGAGACTCGAATCTGAAGCTATACTTGCTTCGTTCACCACGGGTTAAAGATTAAACCCTTACCCTTCCCGATTTTGCTTCCCCTGCAAAGTCCGACATCGACAAAATCCGATTGGTCGCCATCCCCGGCGGCTTCTTCAGCTCACGGCAAGCTCCGGTAAGACAGTGTTGCTTCTCTCCTTCACAATAAAACTCAGTCTTCTCTTCAAATGCTTTCAATTTCAGAAACCCTTACTTCRGTGTTCTGGATTTTCAGTTTCAAATTGATGTGCAAAATCAACTCCACCTGCTTCGATATCCTCAGGTAACTRCCCAAGATCTGTAGCTCTTGGTTTTTGGAACTGATTTCTTCCTCTAGCACAAGACCGAAAACTGGTCAATTTATTGTTCACACTTGAGTTTACTCAAGCTGATTTRGAGACTTGGAATTRCAGTTGATAGGACATAGATGACTCTTTCTAAACCTAGTTTCAGCTTCAGTTTAGTTTCATCACAAATRAATAACTTAGAACAAAGGCTGAAACTCAATGCTCTCTTTACTGTTTTGCGAGATTCTCCACTATGTCATCAACTTCAAGTCTCAATAAATCACCACCAACACTTCGCAAACCTCACAGAACCCAGGTATCTTTCTAAAACTTTGCTGAATTTAGAACCTGCAATTCAACACATCAAGTAGACATCAAGCTCTGATATCTTTGTCTTCCTTTCTTTGTGTCGTGACAGACATTACAACTCAACACRAAGCTTCTGTGAACGTGAKTTGATGTCTAAACCACTGTAAATCCGTCTAAGGTAACCTTCAACAATTTGTAGAACCCGCAATTGATACATCAAACAGAAATGTCCATTATCTTTGTACTTTTCTGATTTACTCTGTCTCTGATTCCCTTTTGCAGCTCAACAACAAGACKCTCGAGACCCTTTCTTGATGTCTAAACCACTGCCATATCTGCTCAGGTAACTTCCKGCTACTAAACCTGCAACTTTCAGTTTATCAATTCCCCATTTCAGCATATACCAGAAACTGACCCGTCTCTTCTGCTTGTCTGAGGTACCCACTGATCCTGAGCTTCTTTCC